CATGTCTTTTGTCAATGGTGGCGCTCACATCTGCTGCGAAGGCTCGGGTGAAAATTTGTTCCAGGACGGTGTCGGGAATTCCGGTGATATTGTCTGTGTCAGCGGTGTAAAACTGGATCGCCAGTGACGAGTGGTCGCGGGAGTCATGCCGCCTCAGGCCACTTAGAGCCGGGGCTGAGACTTGTTGAGTGCTGTTGTACCACAACAGCGGCGACTGCTTCAGCCCGTAGAGGCTCTTTAGCAGCTTGCACACCCGGCCGGACCCATCGTTGTAGTAGTCCGGCTGGTACATGTAGAGCACGCGGTCGAGCTTGCTCTGCAAAAAGGCGTTCTTCATGTCCAGCTGCATCAGGTTGAGGTCGAGGACGGCGACGATGCTGAGGAAGATCCTCAGCGTGACGTAGCTGCTCACCGGCGCATACGTCTCGTCGTAGTCGGCGCCGTACACTTGCGCGAAGCCTTTCACGACCAGCCTCGCCTTCTCGCGCTCTACGGTGTCGTCGATGCGGTACTTCGTCATCAGCACCCACCGGTTCTTCATGATGTTCACGCCGGGGGGCCGCTCAACTAGCTCCCACGTGCCATTGCCGATCATACTGCGGATCTCCTCGTCCATGGCGGCCTTCACCGCCTGTCCCTTCCAGCTTGCCAATGCCTCCTTCACCGTCATCGTCGCGATGTCCCAGCGGTGCTCGGGGTCGGCGTGCATGTCGGGGTCGAGCTCCGGAAACTCCTCGTCGTCCTCGGCGTCGTCGTACGCCAGGTCGTCGTCGTCATTGTCGTACAGCGTGGTGAAGGCGGCCGGCGGGAGGCAGACATGGTAGATTAGCCACTCCGGCGTCCCACCTCCCAGGACGCCGAGCAGAGGCTCCAGTTGGTGCCTAGGCGCCCAAGGACGCCGAGCAGACGCCCAGGTCGGCGTCCAGGCGCCCAGGACGCCGAGCAGACGCCTGGGACGGCGTCCAGGCGCCCAGGACGCCGAGCAGACGCCCAGGACGGCGTCCAGGCGCCCAGGACACCGAGCAGACGCCCAGGACGCCGTCTAAGCGCCAAGGACGGCGTCCACCTGCTCGGCGCCCTCCAGCCAGGCGCCCCCCAACACAACGCCCTTGCAGTGGCCCCCGTGCCCACTGCCACAGGTTGGCTGCATCTCCCCCGTACACCCGACCACGAGGTCGGCTCCGCCCAAGCGAGGACGGGGCTGAACACAACTTCCGTTGACATGCTTACCCTCCAGGTGCATAGTGCAACCATCACTCTCCATCATTGTCCCCCATCCACTTCAGCTTCGCGTTCCCATCCCCTCCCGTTTCTCCGTCACCCAGCAAAAAGCTCTTGCTGCTCACGTGAATGCTGCTGAATAGAAGCCTGCTGCTTTTGTTCTCCAATAGTAACGGCACAATTTCATCCTTTCTTGCCCACTGATTTCCAAGTGTCACAAGTCGTTCTACGGTGCTTGAAAACAGCCTGCTGGTTTGCTTCTCATGAGCAGCGACACATTCTCTTTGTCACATTACAACCCATGGATTTCAAGGGCATATGTCCATCTGGCAGTAGGCCAAGAACCTTGACTTCTGGACTGCAGCTGCTAGATGTGTCTGATTCTAGTTCGGTGTGGCTGATATGTCCATCCGTCAATGAACTATCATTCACGTGCATTGAGAATGTAACAACTTGCACCAGGAGACTCAAAGTATGTACACCATGCCATGCACGCATCTCACAGACGCCTTGCAACTTCGACATAAAGGTAACATTGCGATTGCACAAGACTAAAGGAAGCAGAGCACAAGCTGGCCTGTCAAAGGATGACCGAGGCCTGAGTGGGAGTGAAAGCACGTTGGGGCGACGTCGCAAGGGCAGAAAGCAGGAGGCGGAATAAATGATTATTACTGCCATGAGGGGATTTGTTACACGAGTGGAGGGTATCAAGAGAGTGGGGGGAATGAGGGGAATGTGGGGTATAAGAGTAGTGATGGGTATGAGAAGAGTGATGAGTATATCAAAAGTGGTGTGTATGAGAAGAGTGGGGAGAATGAAAGGAGTGGGGGGTTTGAGTGAAGTGAGGGGTGTAAGAGGAGTGGGGGATGAAGACTTGGGGGGGAGGAGGCACCCCTCAAGGAAGTTGCAACAAACAACTAAAGCCCCACCATTGCAAGCATTTAGTGCTTCAGGGTTGTCCAGAGCAAGTGTGGGTGAGGGAGGAAGGGCTAAGCACGTGCAAAAAAAGGTGAAAGCGATGAAAATGGCAGGGCAAGAGAAGGATTTTGGAATGAATGTGCAGGGACAGAGAGAAGGGCGGATGAGGTGACAGGGGAGAAAGATGGACAAGCGTTATAATCAACACAAGCTAACCGGGCTCATCTAGAAATAGAGGGGCTGATTCCATCAGCTGCCATAGAGAAACTGGCAAGACACGAACATAGCAGCCGACTCCCTAGGAGGAAACAGCGGTAGTTGAGCAACAGAGCAGTACCACTGCAGTTGCATTGAACGACTCCAGGCAGCAGCATGAGCCCCGCACATCCTCCCACTTGAAAACAGCCAAGGGGCGTTGCCAATCACATGGCAGCTGAAGCGGCATCACTACTCACATGGGGTCACAGCGGTAGTTTGCTCTTGTCAACTCGGTGTAAGACAATGGAATTGGTGGCCTATATGGCAAAGCGCTTCCTGTTGCACCTGGTTCATCTTTCGGCTTCACCTCCCTAATGCCACATGCCTTGCCATCAGTCGTTCCACTCTTCTTGCTGTTGCTCCTGCTGGGGCATGTGAGCTTGTGGGAGGGCCAGTGCGCCTTTTGGCACTCTCTGCTGCAATATGACACCTTGCCACACCCAGAGCAGTTCCGCAGCTTCACATCACCACCCTCCACCTTCCCACACCCAGTAGCACTGCACACACGCCTTCCATATGCATTGTTGTGTGCAGCACCAGTTGTTGGAGAGGCAGGGGAGGCAGGGCGGTAGCACGGTTCTCCCAGCAGCATCTCTCACAGACATGCCACCAGATTGACTCCCCCCGGCTACGCCTTCAGATAAGGCGGCTCCTCACACTGCTTGCCCTTCTGCTTCCCATGGCTGCTGCTGCCGTCACCACAAGCATTGAAATTCCCACCCTCGTTCTTCAAGTCTTCACGGAATCTGGGAAGCAAAGAGCGCTCATACATCGCCGCCAGTGCTTCCAAGCGTGCACTCGCGCTACGGTCCTTTGCCTCGCTCGCACTGCAGGCGACCCGCCTCCCCTCATACTAGTGGCTGGCAGCATTGCAACCATCGACCAGGACTGTACTTCCTCCCACACAACCCCACAATCTCTGTCACCCTCTCTGCACTCCCCGCCCCACATGCCCTTTCCACTCCCTGCCCTCCTTCCGCCTGCCTTCTGTTTCACCCCAGAGCTTCCCCCCCCAGCTCTAGGATTCCACCCGCCTTCCATGCCAATCTGTTGCACGAGAGGCGTGGCGCAGAGCAGCGCCACGCTGAGCAGAAAGGCAACCGACACCTGCTCTACCCACTCCCGTAACGCACGCACACTGCTGCTGCTATGGTGCGGATTTTCCAGGCCCAAGCGGGCGAGAAGGCTTTGAAACACCTCCGAGTGGGGCGGGAAGACGAAGAGAAAGCAGTCAAGGAGGACGGAGGCGGGGCAATAGGCGAAGTTGGCAATAAAAGTGACGAAGGAGACGTGGGAGATGTACGTGCGGATGCAGCGGCTGCAGTGGGCGCATGCTGGTGCGTCCAGGAACAGACCGGCGAAGTCCACTAGCAAGCCCTGCATCGGATGATCGGACGGGTCTCGCTCTGAGGCGACAGCACTTCCTTGCCGGCCCTGCCCATCCCGAAACACCTGGCACTCGCATCCTCTGGAAACTTCACAATAGCTTCGTCCCCCTCGGGCCACTCCTCCCACTCCGGGAGGTGGCTGCTTCCATCCAGTGGCGGGAGAACAGTGCCGAACCTGACCAGCAGGCTCGGAAGATCCCGAAGCGGGTGACGCATGGGCAGGAATTTTCCTTGTGGGCTGTCCTTGAAGCATTTCTTGGCGGAGATGAAATCTGAGCCGTAGATTCGAAACCACTGCAAGAGGCGAGCAACCCGATAGGTGAGGAGACCAACAGCGGGATTTGTGTTGACAGGCACGAGGCCCAGATTGAACGTCCCACTGCTAGTCGAACTGCTGCAAGTGTCAAGCAGCGCATAGCTGCTGGAAGAACTGCTGCTGCAATGAAAAGAGCTGGCTGTGGCCGAGGCAACAGCCGCTTTTGGAGCTGGTGCTGGTGCTGCTGATGCTACTGTTTCGAGTCCTCCTCCTCTTGCACCTTCCTCGCTCACACCTGTTGCCAGCCCTCGCTTTCTCAGCCTCCCCCGTCTTAGGATCGTAATCGCCCTAGTCGGCAATAGTCTACTTGCTATTGCTTATCGTGTTCTCCACGATCTCACGAATCCAATGATATGCACAGCTCTGCTTGAAGTTGTCAATACACACTTCAGCAATTTTCAGAATCTTCAACTGATCAATGTTGTTGTGATTTCCAGAATGAGTACAAGCAGTTTTATAGTCAACCAAGGTAAAAAATGCGATTCGTAACGTAACTTCTTTCCCAAGCAATCTCGCGCGCGCCTCATTTCACCCCGAGTCGCACGCGGAAACCGAACCGAATGCACCGAACACTCCTCAAGACCGAATCTAGAACCTTCTCGAACACACCTCGAGCTCAAACCACAATTTCCCCCCGTCGATCTACTTCTCTCGATGCTTCTCCTTCTTTCTACCTCCTTCTAGCACATTTCTTCCCAATTCTTCTCCCGCTTCTCACGCCGTAGCCGATTTCCACCGCTTCACTCTAGAATAGTCCATACACTTCCTTTCCGCCGTCGCACCGAATCGCGCCGTATGTTCCGTGGTTGGGCGAACCAACCTTAACAACCTCCCCTGTGGTTCGTCACCCACGAACTCCACTCGCACTCCTCCCCTGCACCTTGTAGCCTTCATAGGGTCTAAGTCGACTTCACGCTCCCCTGCAGCTCCTGCACCTTGAACCTCTGCTTACGTGTCTTGTAGTTGAGCGCATTGACGTCCAAACCTTGAAATATCTTCTTCAGCCTCTCGCTTCCCCTCGGCATGTTATCACCCAACTCCTCTTGGGTCTCGTACCCCTCAACGTGTTCATCCTTTATAGCCATTCGTCCCTTTGCAGTTGCATTCGCCTTTGATCCCTTCACCATGATGTCCCTTTTCAAAGCTTCAACTCCCACACACTTCGCATTTACTGCTTCATCTTCAACCACGATCGCTGCTGCAAAGGTGTTGACACTGGTTCCATCTCCATCGTTCACTGCTGCTGCCTCCATGGTGACTATCTCTTCTTCCTGCTTCACTGCTTCCTCCACACTCGCTGTTGTGTCTTCCCTATCCTCACTCTCATCAACCTCACCTGGTGATTCCTCCAGTTCTCCCATCTTAGCATACTCAGGGTCCTCATAGAACGCATCCTTACCATTGCTCGCTATCACGTTCATCTCGTAGAACCCGTCACAGAAGTAACCATTAGCATACTTGTCCCACTCAGGACCAAACACAGTAACCTCGCCACTGTCATAAAATATCTTGCACCCCAAATCATCAAGCTGTGACTGACTGACCAAATTCACCTTTAAATCCTCAACCAAAAGCACATTCTCCAGTCTCATTTCTCCATACGGACTCTGCAACACCACGTCACCCTCTCCTGTCACTGGCAACTTTGCACTGTTACCTTGCAGTATATAACGCTCACTCGACTCCCTCACGTTTTCTATCCAATCTGACCTGAATGTCATGTGACGCGTGCATCCGCTGTCCATGAACCATGCCGTCTTCTCAAGTTCGCCGGTCTCGCGAACATTCTTCGGTAAATGCACCACGTTCGCAAGATGCGCTCCTCCCAAAATCACATCCTCCTTTTCCGCTTCCGCTACATTCGCCTTTCCCGCCACATTTCTCTGCTGCGACGGTCCCTTGTAGCTCCTGCTGTTTGGATTGGAGTAGCACTCTGCGGCACGATGCCCGTAGCGCCCACAAAAATCACACTTGCCGCCAAAACCTCGTTTCTGCTGCCACTCCGCTCCCCCATTCTCCACTTTCTCATTATCCACCGCGTTGCCCTTGTAGTTTCTGCTTCGTGGATTTTCGTAGCAGTTTATCGCCTTATGACCGCGCTTTCCACACTGGTAGCACGCTCCAAACGCCTTCGTTGCATTCACCAAAGCCGGCCTCTCCTCGTCAAATTCCTTAGCCGCTGCTGCCGCTTTCTTTTTCCTCATCTCCTTCACCGTCTCAAGCGACTGCAAAATCTCCTGCAGCTTCATCAAACTCTCTGGCGGTTGGTACGTAAACATACCGATGTCGGATTCGTACTCCTTAGGAAGTCCATCGACTATGTAGTCGATCATCGCTTTCTCCGTCTCCGCGGCTCCCATCACCCTCAAATCGTCGTTGTAGCTTTTCGCCTTGTTGATGTAGGTGATGATTTTCTTGCCTTTCTCCATGCTTAGCGTCAGCAGTTGCTTCCTAATCGCCTTCTTGTTGACATCGTTGGTGCCCATGTACGTGGACTCCAGGTACTCCCACGCTCGCTGTGCAGAGTTCAGCTCCCCTGCAAACTGGTCCAAATCCACCGCGATTCCATCGGCAACTGAATGACAAAGCTGAAAGAACGCTTGCTTACTTTGCTTTTTGAACGCCGCTATTTTCTCCTTCGTATCCGTCGTGGAAGGCGCAACTCCCTCCATCGTCTCCTCGTCGGGACGGTAGTATGGCAAGAGGTCCACCTCCTCTGCCCTCCGAATGAACTGCTGCGATCAGAAGTTGATCGTAGCCCAGGATCTACTCAGGAAGGTTCGCACGCAGTGAGATAGTTTGGTGGGCCCTTGACCTCAATAGCAGAGTGAATGTAAAATGCTTGAGATGAATAAAACATGCAAATACAAGAAATATAAATATGAGTATAAGGAAATATGAAATGACCTAACTAGTCATGTACTCTAAGGGGTACATTCCCTTATTCAAATTCATTCCCAACCGTGCGGCGCGTACAGTTTCGTAACTGTTCCCGCCAAAACCATCCTGCCTGAAGCTGCCCGATGCCATCTGCTCCGACGGTCCAGATGTGCTGTAACCGTCTGACTCTTCGGTTCAATTCCAACTGTCTGACGCTTCGCGTTCATTCCCGATATTGCCTGCTTCTCTTTGCTGCGGTGAGGAGTGCACAGTAATATCAAATATTACTATTCGTAACACCCCCCTTCACTCCTGGCCGTAGCTCGACTTGACCTGCTTGACCACGCCGCTGAGTTCGGAGCAGTGCTGATACTGCTGACGTGGCAGTCGCTTCGTGAGGAAGTCTGCTGCCATGTCACCCGTCGGGCAGTAGGTCAAGTTGACCTTGCCCTTGTCCACCTCGTCCTTCACGAAGAAGTACCGCAGCGCGATGTGCTTGGTGCGGTTGACGAAGCCAGGCTTGTTCGCGATCCGAATCGCGCTCTGGTTGTCGCAGTGAAGGCGAAATGTTGGCGAAGCTCGAATTTTCGCCTCTTGCAGAAGCTCCTGCAGGTAGAGGCCCTCGCGAACTGCTGCGGTTGCTGCGATGAATTCCGCTTCGGCTGACGACAGGGCAACCAACTCCTGCTTCTGTGAATTCCAGGAGATTGGCCCCGTTGGTTCGAGTCGGAACAGGAAGCCAGTCCTGGACCGTCGATTATCAGGATCTGCTGCGTGGTCGGCGTCCACGTAGCCGATGAGGTTGAAGGATGGGGTTGGTGCAGTTGAGTAGCACAGCCCAATCTTGGGCGTTGAAATAACGAATTGAAGAGCGCGCTGCAGGTCCAGGAGATTCTCAGCCGTTGGTTTATGAGAGTACTGTGCAAGTTGACTTGCGATGTATGAGAGGTCTGGCCTGCAGGTGACAGAGGCGAAGAGAAGGCATCCCAACTGCTGCTGGTAAGTCTGAATCCCAGCAGGGGATAGGGCTTTGTTGTCAGGTTTGTGGTTCGGTCCGGGGGTTCGGTAGGGAGTTGAGAGGGGTGCAGGTGAGATGTTGAACCGCTTCCCTAACTCCTCTGCGTACTTAGCCGCTGAGAGGTGAATGGCCTCAGGCGCGTAGGAGATGTTGAGGCCTAGGAACTGCTTCACCTCGTAGTTGCACGTAATGTCGACGCGCCCCGCCAAAGCCTTCTCGAACTGTTCGAGGAGCTCGTTGTTCGACCCTGTGTAAAGCAGGTCGTCGACGTACACCGTGAGGAGAATGTATTCGCCGCGGAAATCGCGGCGGTACATCCCTGGATCGTGCGGCATCTGCTTGAATCCGATTTCAAGCAGGATGTTGTGTAGGTACTGCTGCCACAGCCTCGGTGCCTGTTTGATGCCGTAGAGTGACTTTCGCAGCTGACACACGCGCGCGTCCCCTTCGCCATAGGTGTGCGGCTGCTCCACGTAAATCACGGCGTCTACTAACGCGTACAGGAACGCGTTCTTCACGTCGATCTGGCGGAGTGGTAAGTGCCTTGCAGCTGCGATGGCGAGCAGGATGCGGACGGAGGTGTGGCGGCTGACTGGGGCGAATGTCTGATCGAAATCGATCCCGTGCCTCTGATCGTAGCCGCGAACCACCCAGCGCGCCTTGAAGCACTCGATGGTTCTATCCGCTGCGGTCTTCACGCGGAAGACCCACTTTCCCGAGAGAACCCTTGCTCCTTTGATTGCTGCGCGGTCGACGAGCACCCAGGTATCTCGTGATTCCAGCGCCTTGATTTCCGCGTCCATCGCCTCACAACATTCCTTGCTGTGTGGCCCAGAGAGGGCCTCCCGCGGATTTCGGGGCTCGATGATGCGCGGCGCCTTCGAGGTTGCGGTGTGAAGCCCGAGCAGCTGCAGTCCTGAGACGGTGCTGTCGTGGCGACGTTGCGGGATGACTTCCTGCACATCGTCGTCATCGCTTTCAGGTTCAGGTGGTGCTGGTGGTGCTGCGCCTCTGCCGCTTCCGCCTGTTCCGCTTCCGCCTGTTCCGCCTATTCCTCCTCCCGAGGAATCATCGTCGTCGTCGCTGCTGCGCCGATCCTCCCATGCGAACTCTCCCCTTGTGTCCTGCTCCAGGATTGCTGCAGCGGCTTCGTCTTCAGGCGTGGCATAGCTGTGGCCATCGTTGGCGTAGACGCGATTCGCGTTCGTTTCCTCGTCGTGACGGAATTGGTCGAGGAAGAGACGCTCGTAGAAGATTACGTCGCGAGCATGGGCGGTCTTCTGGCTGAGGAGGTCCAGCACGGTCCACGCCTTGTAATCGTTACTGATGCCGAGGTGAATTCCCCAGCGCGCGCGGCTGGCAAATTTGCCGATGGTCGAGGTTGGCGGGCGGTACTGCACCATGCACCCCCACACGCGGAGCATCGATGTGTCCCCTTTCGTGCCAGTCCACTTAATGTGCGGGGACAGATTGCCGGTAATTGCGGTGGTTGAAAGGAGGTTGTGTACCCGTACGGCGTGATGCATCGCGTAAGTCCAGTAGATCGGCGGCAATTTCGACTGCTTCATCAGCGCGCGCACCTTCGTCATCAGCGTGCGGTTCGTCCGCTCAGCTACGCCCTGCTGCTGGTGCGCGTAGGGAAGGGAGATGTGATGCTCGATCCCCTTTTGCGTCAGGAATGTCTGCATCTGGTTGCTCCTGAATTCTGCCGCGCCGTCGGACTGCCAGATCTTGAGCTTCTTCCTAGATTGCCGCTCCGCATGCGCTAGCCAGAGGCGAAACACCTCGTAGGCTCTGTCGCGCGACTCCACGTTCACGACCCACACGTAGCGTGTTCCAGCGTCGATGAAGGTAAGAGTGTATAGCTCGTCCTCGACTCCGCAATGCCCCACGTTCAGGAAATCGCTGTACACCTTGTGCAGCTTGGGGTAGCGGTTCGTTCCAGGTTCGAGCAGCGGGAACGGTTGGTGGCTCAGCGCAGCTTCGGGGCAGACGGTGCAATTGCGCGGATGTGTCGCGCCGCTCACTTCGGAGCCATCAGGGCGCAGGAGTGCGCCAGGAGCGAAGACGCCAGCGTCGATGCAGTTTTTCAGCGTCGCGCGGGAAGGATGTCCGAGGCGCTGGTGCCAGAGTGCATCGTCAGCGCGAAAGCCGGAGGTGCGCATGTAGCGCGCGCGTACCTCCTCAGGTTCTTCGTCAGGTGCGGGAGCAGGTTCCGCTGCTACTTCCTCTGCTTCTTCTTCTTCTGCCGCGGTAGCGCGGGGGAATATCTGCAGGAGGTGGTGCGAGCGGGATGTGGCGCGGGGGACGACCGAGAGGAACGACTGCAGGTGCTGCTTCGGTTTCCTTGGCTTCTTCCTCTTCCCCCCTTCGTTCTTCGCGGGAAGTGCCCCAGCCGCTATTGTCGGCGCCAGATGCGGCGCCCCATCCGCCGCTCGCGTTCATTGGCCTAGGTTCCGCCGGTGTCTCCCCATCCGCCGGTGTCGCTTGTTCCCCATCCTCCAGCGCTCCCCCACCCCCCTT